GAGCCCAATGGGAACCCAACCGGGCCACGAGTAGCCCAAAAATAGCAACCGGACTAGGAGCCGACAGACGTTCCAATAACACGGGAAGTAGCGAAAACCTTTCCGAACCCTCGAACACAAAAGCAAACACCAGTCCTGAAGGCACACAAAGGCACAGTCGCACCCGAGACCAAAAGTCACGTAGAACCCCAAGAACGAGCAAACATGACGAAGACACCCCGTCCCCCCCCCCCCCCCCGTCCAAAAAAAAAACTTTCTAGAGCAACAGAGAAGAGCACCCACCTACAGGACGGAACCAACCGACTCAAAGGACAAGGAACCGAGTCTGGGGACACAGGGGGGCAAGAACGAAGGCAGATCCCCCCACCAGGTAGATAAATAAAAAGAAAACCCCGCAAGAGGACAGTGTACCCAAGCGGAACAGAGCCGGCCGCCATGATTGGTGAAAACAAGCTGCACAGTACCCTGCGCCTCACCAGTGCAAAACTGCCCCATACCCTAAGGCAAACAAGGGAGACAGAACACCCGAACACACAAAGAGCAGCCGAAAACCAAGCAGTAAACGGCCTAACAGGGACAGAACCCAAGGAACTTGTGGAAGGTGGCCCCAAGCCCCAAGGGCAGTACTTACAGGGCACCTAGGGAAGGGAACCCTAGGCGCATGCAGCCCGAGTACTGGAGACTCACTCCCATCTCACGCACCACCTAGAAGACAGACACCACACTCTAGGTACAGTGCTGAAACAACTAATGGAGCCGGAGCACACAACCGGTGCCTATAGCATCAGCCGAAGAACTGATGGGTGGATAGCCGGCGTGAGAGGTCTGGGGTTCCCCCTTCCCCCTCCCGGGGAGGGGGGAGCTGCGCAGACAGCGGCGCGGTGACGTGTGACGTCATACTAGTTTGCTTGTTTTCTGTTGGGGAGTTCTATCCACTAGTTTGGCTTTTGGTAGCAATTTTAACCAGAATAGGGGGGTTTGTTTTGGAATGCTTACCTTTCTGGATGCTTGACCCGGTCGATGGCAGACATAGAATGCCTCCAACCACACGGGGGTTTCTATAGGCCATTGCTCCCCTTGCCTCTCTGAGGGGGCCAGGTTCTGGCCGTGGTCCCCGGTAGGCCCTAGAACTCCATACACATGACTGATGCCAAAGTCTGACATTAGCATATCAGCCTGGTAAAGCTCCGGGGAGCCGACGGGGCTCCCCCCAGAAAAAAGGATGGGCCGGCCACCATGAGGCCAAAAGGACTACTCTCCCCTGGTAAGTCTCCAAGCGAGTCAGGACCTGGAGCAACAGCTGAACCGGGGGAAAGAGGTACAGGAACCCCCCACTTCGACAAGCCCTGCCGAAGGGCATCGACCCCGACAGCCTCGCAGTCGGGGAAGGGCGCCACATACAGGGAAAGGTGCCGCGACCACGCGAAGAGGTCCACCTCCGGGCGCCTAAACATCTAGCAGAGCCAACGGAAGGAGTTGGCGTTGACCGTCCATTCCGTGGACAAGGGAACAAAACGAGACGGGCCGTTTGCCAAGACATTGGACACACCCCAAATGTGAACCACCAGGAGTGCCAAACCCCAAGAACTCAGCAGATGAGTCACTCGAAGTGACCAGCTCCAAAGAGCGAAGGAACGCAACGAACCCCCCTCGGTTCAGGCAACTCAACCACCGGGGAGCATTCCGAATGGAGCCGGATCGTTGATCCGCGGGCGGCCCGAATCCCCTGAAGAGCAAACCACACCGCCGCAAACTCCCCGCACCATGCTGTAGGCCCGACGAAAGGACGGACCCCACCGCCCCTGACCGGCCTGGTGAGCACTGGTCACAAGGCCCAAGCCAAGAGACAAAGCGTCCGTGAACACATCGAGCCAGGGCTTGGGTAGGTGCCAAGGCACTGAACCCCAAAAAACTCGAAGAGGAAGCCAGCGATGCAAGGCCCCCAGGGGCCGAACCCACCAATCGTGAGAGAGGCGGAAGGGACGTCCCTGAAGGAACCAGAACAGCCGACGACGCCAAACCCGACCCGGCAGGTAGACTATCATTGCAAAGTTTAGGCTCCCGCACAGACCCCTCGAGCAACCACCGGGTGACCCGGGAGCCCCCCAGAAACAGGCGCATGCAAAACCGCAGCCAAAGGAGAGACTCTGGAGGAAGAGACAAGGAAGCAGTCCGAGAGTCCCACACAAGACCCCAGCCACGACCGAACCTGGGAGGGAACCAGATGGGACTTCCTCCAGTTCACCAAGAACCTGAACCCGACGAATGGACGAATGGAACCCCGAGCCCTAGCACGACCCCTCCGGGAAGGCCCTTCCACCCCAAGAGGCCCCCGGAGAACCAACAAGTCAAACATAGGACAACAACTAGCCTAGGCAGCCTGCAAATACTACGCCACTGCAGAGTCAGTAAACAGCAGGGGGCAAAAAGGCGAAGACATCCTAAGAGCCAGGGCCCAGGCAGATTCCAAAGAGAAGGTAAGCACCGCCTGCCAACACGCGAGCCGGGAAGCATAAAACAGAGAAACCGCATCCTGCAGGATCGGCGCAAACAGATTCAACAAGGCAGACGACGAGCGAGCCGCTGAGTTCAAGGCACTGGAGCCAGGAACAACCCCCAGCATCCCCACATCCTCCTCAAGCCAGTCTGGTTACCGCTCCAGTTGGGAAAAGAAATGAAAAGCCGAAGTCAAGAGGCCACGAGCGTGCCAGTCCTCAGCAACCTGCCCAACCGAAAGGGAAGCCCAGGAAAACCTGAACATTCGAAGACAGTCAAAGCCTCGCGCCACTCAAGCGTTCGGGAACAACAGAAAATATGCCAAGCCTCCAAAGCAAACACAGGACAGTCCGCCAGCCAGGATGACTCCGGAACCTCGTAATGGACCAAGAAGGGGAACGAAGACCAAAACCTGAACGAAGTCAGATCCATAAGAGAGGCATACTCCGGGTCATGCAGGAGGTAAGCCGCAAGGGCCGCCCGCACTGCAGGAGGTGGATGCAGGAAGCCGAAAACCTCCGGAAAGACAGAGACAGAACCAACGCACCCGGGGAACACGGAACCGAACCTGGGGAGGGGCAGACACTAAATCAAACTCATATGCAGAGAGGTGAAAAGAAAACCCCACTCCTTGTAACAAGCCCAGCTCAGAGGGCAGAGAAACCCAGGCGGGACCCAACGGAGCCCAAGGCCCCCCAAGTCTGCCCCTCCCCCACCCCAGGATCCTTCACCGCAGGACCTGGGGCCGAGTCATCACCCAAAACACTGGCCTCAAAAGAAAAGGCCGGTGCAGCTGTGAAAGCTGGACGGAAGGGGGGGGGACCCACTGGTCAGACCCGGAGGCTTCGGCTGGGAGATCAGACTCGAATACCTCCGTTGCCACTCCAGAAGGGGCATTCCCCGAGACTGCCCGAGTCTAAAGACCATCTAAACCCTGCCCCGACTCCGAAACCCTCAGATGTTTCGGGACCAGAAGCAGGGGGGGGGGGGGGGGGGGCAGAACAAACCACAGCAGGGGAAGGACAAGCGGATGCAGACTGAACCAAGGCCGAAGCAACCCCCAAGCCCGGGTCCCTATAACAAAACGGGGCAGCCTCGGGGCATCCAGGTGAGCAACCAACCTAGTGCGTTGCAACAACCTAAAGCACACATGCAGCGCCTGTGCCCGCAAAAGATCATCATTAGATTGGGTAAACTGAGTCACCAGCAAGCATCAAAACTTGCAGGATTCTGGATCGAAAGTGTCTCCGACCCAACAGACAACGTGACGGAGGCAATAACAGTGAGAGTCATCCCTGAGACAAGGGGACGGAGCAACTCTCGAACTCGCACAAAGCGAGGGGGGACTTAGGGGCTACATAAATTGGACCCGCACACCCCTCCATGGGGTTTTCCAGGGTCCAGAGATGGAACTCACGTTCAGGGAATCCCAGGCAGGGTACTGCTAACCGCCGCCCAAGACTACCAAGCAACACTCTAAAGCTGAACCCCCCAGGATGTGTACACTCACAGGGACCTAGCAAGGGGCACCACCAGAAGAGAGAACCATACTCAGGACAGGTACATTGGGGGCAACAATCAAGGCAGACCCCCATCCCCACCAGGCAACACAACAAAAATAAAAATAAAACCCGCGCAAGAGGACAGCGTACCCTAAAGGAATAGAGCCGGCCACTATAAATGATGAAAACAAGCTGCGCAGTATCCTGTGCCCCTTACTAGTGCAAACTGCCTCTTACCATAAGGTAAACAAGGGAGACAAAACACCCAAAGGTGGCCGAAAAACCGAGCAGTAAAACGGCCCAGCAGAGGCAGGACCAAAGGAACTTGTGGAAGGTGGACCCAAGCCCCAAAGGCAGTACTTACAGGGCACCTAGGGAAGGGAACCCTAGGCGCATGCGGCCCGAGTACTGTAGAATAACTCCTGGCTCGCATACCCCTGGAAGACAGCCACCACACACAAGGCACAGTGCTGGAACAATCGCTGGAGCAAGAGCACACGACCTCTGCCTCTAGCATCAGCCTCAGAACTGAGGGGTGAATAGCTGGTGCGGGGGTCTGGGGCTTCCCCTTTCCCCTCCCGGGGAGGAGGGAGCTGCACAGACGGCGGCACGGCAACGTGTGATGTCATACTCGTTTCCTCGTTTCTGTTTGGGGAGTTCTGTCCACTTGTTCGGTTTTTTGTAGCAATTATCACCAGAATAGGTGTTTGTTTTGGGACGCCTACCTTTCTGGGTGCCTAACCCGGTTGATGGCAGACATAGAATGCTTCCAGCCACACAATTTCAATTTGTGGCCATTTCTATTGGCCATTGCTCCTCGTGCCTCTGCGAGGTGGCCAAGTTCTGGCTAGTGGTCCCTGGTGCCCACAGAACTCCATACACATGACTGATGCCACAGTCTAACATTAGCATATCAGCCTGGATAGCTCCCCCAGAAAAGACAGGTTAACAGTGTCAAAGGTACTGGGTTTACCAAGGATGTTATCACAAAGAACAAGGGACTCAAGAAAGCAGGGAATTTATATTTCATTAAAACATTACAGTACAAGTATAATACCGGTTACTACTGGTAATGCTAAGCTAACAAAGTCAGCACTTTTCAGAAGAAACACATCATTGAAAGAACTCTTATATTACAAAATTCTTATTTGTTGAAGCTTTTAGTAATCTTAATCGATTACTTGGGAGCAGCCTTGGAAGTCAACATACAAACAGCCTCAAAATTTAACCTCTGGCCTGATTACCTGTTAATAGCCGACAACCTTCTGGTGCGCAAAAAAAAAAAAAAAAAAAAAAAAAAAAAAAAAAAAAAAAAATCCCCAAATTTTTTCCTTCTAATAGTGTTAAAATGCATTCACTGATCATGGGAAAAATAATAAAGTAAATTGTATGTGACTGACTTCGGCCACGGTGAAGCCTGGGAGTCTCCAGATGACATCAAGATTCCCCCGAGAGTTCATCAAGGTATCGCCGCAGGGGCGAGAAGGGAACTATCAGGGGAAAGCACCAAGCCATTACAACTATATAACACTTGGAAGGGGTTAGGATAAGGGTTTGGGATGGAACGGGGTGGGGTGGGGGGTGGGGATGGAATGGTCGGGGACTGAACGCTGACCTGCACGAAGGGAGAACATCACTACCGTTCAGCCCAAGTCGGCTGCAGGGTGGTCACTTCGAGCCAGCCATGAAGCGGGAGTTCCAACGAAGGTATTTTTGCACATTTATTCAATGTGTCTCATTAGTTTTCAATTTTTTTTTCAGTAACATTATTCAACAGTTTATCTTTTGAGAAAAGTATATAATAAAATGTGTGGAAGATCGGAATACTGTACTTAAATGTGTGTGTGTGTCACTAAGATGTATACTATATTATTTGCTTAGAATAAAACATTTTTTGGTGTTATTATACTATATACACACTTTACATATAACTATACTATATACATTTTCTTGCATAATTACAAACCACTAAGCCAGTCTGGTGTGTGTCATTATCTCATATCTTGGGGTCAGAGTTCAGCTCTGCAGGTTGTGTGCAAAATGAACTCCACGCATTGAATATATAACATTTTCTTCATAATGTATTTCTAGTGTTTTACCATTATTTTTCAAATGCAATGATACAATTGGACTGTCAATACTGTTATTTATATCACAGAATATATACAGTAGATCATAGATACACACACAGTTTCATGTCATTAATATGTGCATCATATTATATTCTTTGAACAATTAAACACACATACAGTTTTTGCTGTTCTTGCATAAATACACACATAATATATAATTATTTACATTTTTATACACCATAACAAAGCAATAAAACAGTTGTGGTGGGTGTGGTAATGATATCCAAGCACAGGACAGCACCACACACTACCGGCGGGCGATGTTGTGGTGGGTGTGGTAATGATATCCAAGCACAGGACAGCACCACACACTACTGGCGGGCGATGTTGTGGTGGGTGTGGTAATGATATCCCAGCACAGGACAGCACCACACACTACTGGCGGGCGATGTTGTGGTGGGTGTGGTAATGATATCCCAGCACAGGACAGCACCACACACTACTGGCGGGCGATGTTGTGGTGGGTGTGGTAATGATATCCCAGCACAGGACAGCACCACACACTACTGGCGGGCGATGCCACCACATGATGCTACCTGATGCAGCAAAATGCCTCACAGTATATCCCAGCACAGGACAGCACCACACACTACCGGCGGGTGATGCCACCACATGATGCAACCTGATGCAGCAAAATGCCTCACAGTATATTACGCACATTGCTAAGTCTAGACACACACTTCTATTATCATCAAGATTTTTTGACACTTAATCATGAATGTGAATAAATGTCCACAATTTTATTTTGTAAATGAACATGTGGTCATATTTCTTGATGCGTCGAGACCGTGGCTGTGTGCTGAGAATGTCTGCTTCATGCTCTGATCATCACAACCAGCATTCTGTTTGTTGATATCTGAACTTTGTACAGTCATTATCACAGTCAGCATCTTCTATGACACTATCATTGCAAAATAATCTCAGACCTTTATTTCTTCATATTTTAATGATGGTGCGGGCACAAGCCACATGGCAGTGCTGTCAGCTGCTGCAGCATGCACCCAGGATTTTTTTTTCCAAGTTGACGTCCGTTTACTGGATGTCTGAGGGAGCATATTTAAAAATCCTGTGTATGCACAGAATTTTAAATCTTGCGCTGTACTATAAATCATCCCTGTATGACTTGTAGAGCAGAAGGGTTAACTAACAGGCAGCCTTAAAAGCCACCTGACAGGCAGCCCTGGAAGCCACCTAACAGGCAGCCCTGTACGTCACCTGACAGAAGTCTTGTTTAAAAGTGAGGTCACATCTGCCAACTGGCTTGAGCGAGTGAGAGGTGTAAAATGAATGTAGAAGCTTCTAAACTGTGGGGGCTGGGCAATGATACAGCATTTTGTTAAGAACAAGGTTACAAGTCTCCAACAAATAACTACTGTACCTGGCAATGTATCTTTATTGAGGTACAGTACAGTACTGTACCAGATATTTCAGGGAGTTCTGCCAAAATCACTCTCTCCATTACAATTGAGCTTTATATCAAAGAAAAATCTGTTAGCCCTTAAACTGCTAAGCTATTTAAAAGTCTTATATCATAATGGGCCATGAAACAAAAGTATTGAAACCCATGAAGATCAATCGCATATGGCAAGTTGTGAGCAGGAGGAAATTGCAGATATGCAATTGGAAGTGTAAGGTTTAATGCTATTTTCTCTCTTACTTGAATATACCACAAATATAATCTGTTAATGATGTTTTCTCTCTCGTTTCAGATGAACCAAGTTCCACAGAAATCAAGTCTGTCAATGATATTTTCTCTTTCGTTTTAGGTGAACCAAGTTCCATAGAAATCAAATCTGTCAATGATATTTTCTCCTTCAATTTAGAGGAACCAAGATGCACAGAAATCATATCTGTCAATGATCTTTTCTCCTTCAATTTAGAGGAACCAAGTTGCACAGAAATCATATCTGTCAATGATATTTTCTCTCCCATTCCAGATGAACTTTGTCCCACAGAAATCAAATCTGTAAACGACACAGCATTTCCTGACGTGCAAGAGGTGACTCTTTCAGCTGCAACAAGTTTAACTGGTTCCACATGCTCAGAGTCATGCAAATGATATTTTGATATCATTTCCATAGACTTTTTCAAAACTTCATCTTCATTACTCTGTCTCTTGCTCTGTAATCCCTGTTTGGCGACGTGATCACTCGTTTCCTCTACGCTCAACAGTTTGGCAATATGGCTACTTGCTCCCTTTCCCCGGAGCAGGTTGGCAAAATGGCCATTTTCTTTCTTCAAATTGAGTAGCTTGGCAATGTGACGACTTGCTTCCCCTCCGTGGAGCAGGTTTTCCCAGACTTTTATACTTATTGACTCAACTTGGGGAAGTTGAGGGGAAGCAACTCTATGTCTGAAGTCATCATTTCTATCCTCCTTCCTGATACTGTTTGTGTGTGTGTTATTCTTGATTGTCCATGTTCTTTCCTCTTCATTATGGGTGTATTTGTCGCCACTCATCCCTTGCCTCCACACTTCATCCTCATGTTTATTATAGTCCTCATCCCTCGCTCCTTGTGTCCATGCACCATCCTCATGGTGGCTATATTCATCATCCCTCTTTCCTGGTCTCCATGTTCCATCATCATCATCCTTTTCCCTTGTCCCTTGATGCCACACTGCATCATCATGGTGACTGTATTCATCATCCCTCTTTCCTTGATTCTGTGCTCCATCACCATGGTGAATATTTTTGTGATCCCTTATCCCATGTCTCCACGCTGTAGCTTCATGGTGATTGTGAGTGTCATTACTCTTTCCTTGTCTCCATGCTCCACCTTCATTGTGACTATATGTGTCATTACTCTTTCCTTGTCTCCATGCTCCACCTTCATTGTGACTATATGTGTCATTACTCTTTCCTTGTCTCCACACTCCACCTTCATGGTGATAATTTTTGTCACCCCTCACCCCATGTCCCCATGCTCCATCGTCAAGGAGACTATATTTGTCATCCCTCTTTTCTTGTGTGTACACTGCATCTTCATGATGACTATGCGAAACTCTACTCCCCTCGTTTCTTGCATGTGATGAGGTGCTTGAGGACAGAAAGTCACTAGGTAGAGAGGGCGTGTGAAGAGCCGTCGTATCACTAGGCAGCAGTGAGAAGCACTCTTGTCTTCCAGTGTCCCGGCTACCACCAAACCAACTTTCTAAACGAGGCTGCCAACTTGCTTCCCAGTCTTCACTCCAGTCACAGTTATAGGGATCGTCAACCAAAGAAAGAATTCGCCTTCGTTTCTCTTCAACAAATGCTAGATAATCCTTAAGGTACGCTGGATAAGAATTACCGGTCCCATACTCTTGGCCGCCGCTTCTTCCTCCTCTTCCTCTTCTTTTACAGTGATGATAGTGTGTGGGCGAGTAGGGCCGTGGCTGTGACCTGCAAGTAAATCATCACAAACTAGAAATTAGTATGAGTTGGATTGTTTGCCAAACCCACAAATAAATTATCATAAACTACAGAGTACACCTTAAAATTATGGAGAAGCAAGTGCTCCACAGTATTGTGCAGCACTAAATTATGGAGAAGCAAGTGCTCCACAGTATTGTGCAGCACTAAATTATGGAGAAGCAAGTGCTCCACAGTATTGTGCAGTACTAAATTATGGAGAAGCAAGTGCTCCACAGTATTGTGCAGCACTAAATTATGGAGAAGCAAGTGCTCCACAGTATTGTGCAGTACTAAATTATGGAGAAGCAAGTGCTCCACAGTATTGTGCAGCACTAAATTATGGAGAAGCAAGTGCTCCACAGTATTGTGCAGCACTAAATTATGAAGAAGCAAGTGCTCCACAGTATTGTGCAGCACTAAATTATGGAGAAGCAAGTGCTCCACAGTATTGTGCAGCACTAAATTATGAAGAAGCAAGTGCTCCACAGTATTGTGCAGTACTAAATAAGACAAAAAGCCGGCCAAGAAAACCCCAAGACAAGATTCTCAACACTACAATCAAAGGCAATAACCTCTGTGAAACAAGCCTTAGAAGCAAGTGTTATACCCTTCAACCTGATGCATGCAAGATTCTCTGCAAGTGTTATACCCTTCAACCTGATGCATGCAAGATTCTCTGCAAGTGTTATACCCTTCAACCTGATGCATGCAAGATTCTCTGCAAGTGTTACACCCTTCAACCTGATGCATGCAAGATTCTCTGCAAGTGTTATACCCTTCAACCTGATGCATGCAAGATTCTCTGCAAGTGTTATACCCTTCAACCTGATGCATGCAAGATTCTCTGCAAGTGTTACACCCTTCAACCTGATGCATGCAAGATTCTCTGCAAGTGTTACACCCTTCAACCTGATGCATGCAAGATTCTCTGCAAGTGTTACACCCTTCAACCTGATGCATGCAAGATTCTCTGCAAGTGTTACACCCTTCAACCTGATGCATGCAAGATTCTCTGCAAGTGTTACACCCTTCAACCTGATGCATGCAAGATTCTCTGCAAGTGTTACACCCTTCAACCTGATGCATGCAAGATTCTCTGCAAGTGTTACACCCTTCAACCTGATGCATGCAAGATTCTCTGCAAGTGTTATACCCTTCAACCTGATGCATGCAAGATTCTCTGCAAGTGAGTCCTCCTTGGGTACTTGTGCAAGCCGAGGTTGCGGCCACACAAGCTACACCCAGATGGCTCCACAAACTCAGCCTCCACAAGCTTCTCCTTGGGTACTTGTGCAAGCAGAGGTCGCGGCCACACAAGCTACACCCAGATGGCTCCACAAACTCAGCCTCCACAAGCTTCTCCTTGGGTACTTGTGCAAGCAGAGGTCGCGGCCACACAAGCTACACCCAGATGGCTCCACAAACTCAGCCTCCACAAGCCCCTCCTTGGGTATTGTGCAAGCAGAGGTCGCGGCCACACAAGCTACACCCAGATGGCTCCACAAACTCAGCCTCCACAAGCCCCTCCTTGGGTATTGTGCAAGCAGAGGTCGCAGCCACACAAGCTACACCCAGATGGCTCCACAAACTCAGCCTCCACAAGCTTCTCCTTGGGTACTTGTGCAAGCAGAGGTCGCGGCCACACAAGCTACACCCAGATGGCTCCACAAACTCAGCCTCCACAAGCCCCTCCTTGGGTATTGTGCAAGCAGAGGTCGCGGCCACACAAGCTACACCCAGATGGCTCCACAAACTCAGCCTCCAACAAGCCCCTCCTTGGGTATTGTGCAAACAGAGGTCGCGGCCACACAAGCTACACCCAGATGGCTCCACAAGCCCCTCCTTGGGTATTGTGCAAGCAGAGGTTGCGGCCACACAAGCTACACCCAGATGGCTCCACAAACTCAGCCTCCACAAGCCCCTCCTTAGATATTGTGCAAGCAGAGGTCGCAGCCACACAAGCTACACCCAAATGGCTCCACAAACTCAGTCTCCACAAGCCCCTCCTTGGGTACTTTTGCAAGCAGACGTTGCGGCCTCACAAGCTACACCCAGATGGAAAACCTGGTGCTCTCTGGAATCTAGAAATAAGTGGTACCCTTGTGTTGTGGCCTGGGAAAATGGCTTGCACACCCACAACATTAGAACCTCTAAATCCTCCACAAGGATGAGGGACTGCTGCAAGGAGCCTGCATCAGCCGAGAACACAGCTCACACACACCTAATCCTCCACAAGGATGAGGGACTGCTGCAAGGAGCCTGCATCAGCCGAGAACACAGCTCACACACACCTAATCCTCCACAAGGATGAGGGACTGCTGCAAGGAGCCTGCATCAGCCGAGAACACAGCTCACACACACCTAATCCTCCACAAGGATGAGGGACTGCTACAAGGAGCCTACATCAGCCGAGAACACAGCTCACAAGCACCTAATCCTCCACAAGGATGAGGGACTGCTGCAAGGAGCCTGCATCAGCCGAGAACACAGCCCACAAGCACCTAATCCTCCACAAGGATGAGGGACTGCTGCAAGGAGCCTGCATCAACCGAGAACACAGCTCACACACACCTAATCCTCCACAAGGATGAGGGAATGCTGCAAGGAGCCTACATCAGCCGAGAACACAGCCCACAAGCACCTAATCCTCCACAAGGATGAGGGACTGCTACAAGGAGCCTGCATCAGCCGAGAACGCAGCCCACAAGCACCTAATCCTCCACAAGGATGAGGGACTGCTGCAAGGAGCCTGCATCAGCCGAGAACACAGCCCACAAGCACCTAATCCTCCACAAGGATGAGGGACTGCTACAAGGAGCCTGCATCAGCCGAGAACACAGCTCACAAGCACCTAATCCTCCACAAGGATGAGGGACTGCTGCAAGGAGCCTGCATCAGCCGAGAACACAGCCCACAAGCACCTAATCCTCCACAAGGATGTGAGACTGCTGCAAGGAGCCTGCATCAGCCGAGAACACAGCTCACAAGTACCTATACATCACTTAAGTGAATGAACTTTCAATGTGGTGGTAACATCATAGAACAAACACCCAGATATGGGTTCATTTAGGATTGCTATCTTCAACTAGCAGAAAGGGCACACCCACCGGTAAAAACAATCCTGCACCTGATAGCAGGAGTGCTGGAGGATAGGAATGAAATAAAAGAAAGCAAGTCTAGTATGCTAGTATGACTATACTGTAGAGCATACGGAGCACACGGAAGGGATATCACAACAGGATAGAAACTGGAACAAGGGGGATCGGAGTGTTGGAATGATACCCAACTGCTTTGACAATTGGGAATTGAGTGCTAACCCTGCAAGAAGTTAAACCAGTTGAAGTGAACTTTGAAGTCATCATGGAGTCCAAGAACTAACTCTGTACACAACTAGTGAAAATAGCACACAAGAGAATCAGATTCAAGTGATCAGAGTAGAGATTACTACACGTACAGCATTGTAGTCCTAAGCTGGCACATGTCTTTCCTTTAGTTTACTCCTAGCAACTACCACAACCATGATATCTGGCATTTATTATTTCACTTTGAAGTATTTACCTCCTTTCCATGGCCAAACACTTCAAAATCAAATGTGGTGTTGGCTTTAGCTTGCCAGCTTCTAATGCTGCTCAACTTCCTTGTTGCCAGTCAGAAGGGTGTTTGATTCCCGACAACTTCCTTGTTGCCAGTCAGAAGGGTGTTTGATTCCCGACAACTTCCTTGTTGCCAGTCAGAAGGGTGTTTGATTCCCGACAACTTCCTTCTTGTCAGAAGGGTAATTTATCCCTGACCTGTGCTTGTTGCCTGTTGGGCAGGTGCTTCACCCATGACCTGCATGTGTTGCTAGTCAAGGGGTTGCTTCGTCCACGACCTGTGTGACACGGGAGAATTAATAAGTTGCAACCATATATTCAGCAACAGATTGTGTCAAATATTTAACATCAATTATTTTAGCATAAAATTCCAAATACAGAAACCATTATTAATATTTTATGAAAAAAAGAGAGTGCAATTTTAGTTATCCATCAAAATCTCTTATGAGTCAACAAGAAATTTTTTACTTTTAAAAAATATTTGCTCATTCAAGCACTAAAATATTAGATGATGATTTAGTAAAGAAAATGTTGTACTAAAGTGCCCTTATTTTAACCTACCAGAGGACCCAAAACAGAAAACAAAACAGTATGTCAATTTTGTGAATTGCTGCCATTTTCTAGTACGACAATTTTTGCCCTTAGGTAGAATATGCGTCAAAATGTAATGTTCTATTAGGAGGACGGGTTGCCCTATCACAGTACACAGTTGACTCTCTAAAATGTTCTATTAGGAGGACGGGTTGCCCTATCACAGTACACAGTTGACTCTAAAATGTTCTATTAGGAGGACGGGTTGCCCTATCACAGTACACAGTTGACTCTCTAAAATGTTCCATTAGGAGGACGGGTTGCCCTATCACAGTACACATGCAGGCAATGAGTCACAATAACATGGCTGAAGTATGTTGACCAGACCACACATTATTAGGTGAAGGGACGATGACGTTTCGGTCCATCCTGGACCATTCTCAAGTCGACACAATCGACTTGAGAATGGTCCAAGACGGACCGAAACGTCGTCGTCCCTTCACCTTCTAGTGTGTAGTCTGGTCAACACAGTACACAGTTGACTCCTAAAAAACCAGCGTTGAATGTAATGAAACGCCATTTTCTGGGTGAGTCCCGGAGGCTCCCCGGAGCTATCCCAGGCTGATATGCTAATGTCAGACTTTGGCATCAGTCATGTGTATGGAGTTCTTAGGCCTACCGGGGACCACGGCCAGAACTGGGCTATAGAAGCCCCTGTGAGGTTGGAAGCATTCTATGTCTGCCATCGACCGGAACAGGCACCCAGAAAGGTAAGCGCCTCAAAACAAACCCCTATTCTGGTTAAAATTGCTACCAAAAGCCGAACTAGTTATCTTGAGGTTATCTTGAGATGATTTCGGGGCTTTTTAGTGTCCCCGCGGCCCGGTCCTCGACCAGGCCTCCACCCCCAGGAAGCAGCCCGTGACAGCTGACTAACACCCAGGTACCTATTTTACTGCTAGGTAACAGGGGCATAGGGTGAAAGAAACTCTGCCCATTGTTTCTCGCCGGCGCCTGGGATCGAACCCAGGACCACAGGATCACAAGTCCAGCGTGCTGTCCGCTCAGCCGACCGGCTCCCAGCGACCCAACGACTCCCAACGACTCCCCAACAGAAAACAAGCAAACTAGTGTGACGTCACACGCCGCAGCGCCGCTGTCCGCGCAGCTTCCCCCCTCCCCGGGAGGGGGAAGGGGGAGCCCCAGACCCTCCACGCCAGCTACCCACACCTCAGTTCTTGAGGCTGGATGTCAAAAACGCGAAAAAAACGCTGACCGGAGGGAGTGAGGGATGCCGGGGAGCCTCCGGGACTCACCCAGAAAATGGCGTTTCATTACATTCAACGCTGGTTTTCTAGGGGGAGCCCCGTCGGCTCCCCAGAGCTAACTACCCACAGACGGAAAAAGAGGGACTTACCCAGGAGGCGGTCGTCGCTCACTCCTCAACGCGAAGCTGAGACAACTGGCTGCAACCGCCGACCCAAAGCGACACAGGCCCGAAGGGGCCCAGGGACATTCACAAGGTAACGAGCAGCCAGGACCCTGTTCGACCGCCAAAATCCCGCGCCCGAATATCAAAACTAGAAGATAGAAGAAAAAGAGGCGATATGATCACTACATACAAAATAGTAAAAGCAATCGATAAAATTGATAGGGAAGAATTCCTGAGACCTGGAACTTCAAGAACAAGAGGTCATAGATTTAAACCTTTAGTTGCGCACGACATCATATGATGCGTTGAGTGACTTGCAGTAAATTGCGCTCGGCATCATATGATGCTTTGGAGTACCGTGCAAGATTTAAACGGCCCGCGGATACACGGGGTTCACCACACCTTCATCAGAGCTCTTGTAAACAGACGTCATTTTTTTTTATATCGTGGGCCAAATTCCCGGGTGTGAGGGGCCTCAGTATTGAGTGAGCAACCAAGCCTGACGCACGCAGCATGAGCTCACAGCACTGCTGTTCAGCTTGTGACCACAGCATCGCCTAAAAATGCCATAATATACATGTTCTTGCTATTATTTAGTAATGATATTATTACAGAAACCTCCTGACTGTGATAAAACTGACCAGGGTTCTGATAATTGCAGGATTGTGGTGATATTTAGCACTGTGCTCCATGGAGGGAGGAGTAAGGCTGTGGAGTAAGGGTGGTGGTGTCGTTTTCTGACTGTGTGGCCACCTTTTATTGACTGCACTCACCATACCAGCTTAGTGGTTCGCTATGGTGAACACAAATGTAGATACTTATATATAACGTGTGTATAGAGGGGTATAAACAGCAATAGGAATAGGTTGGGAGCCGCCATTTTGGTGAGGAAGGTGCGTCGTCTGCACGACTTATCGTGTTGTTTACTGGTGACCACTATGGTCTTTGGCCACCATACCAGTTTACTTGTACAAGTATGAATAAAACAGGTAGATACTTATATATAATGTGTGTATATAGCATAATAACACCACAAACAGTATTGTTGGAGGAGAAATATTAGTGCGTCTGGCCTTGAGGGCGGCCGCCACCAGCTAACTGTGTGAGTAGCTACGTCTTTATGCCTTTACTCACCATAGAAGCTTAGATGTACAGTTATGGTGAACAAAACATGTAAATACTTATATATAACGTCTGTATATAAAAGCAAAAACAGTATGGTGGGAGGAGAATGGTGGCAAGTCAGGTGAGGTGAGGGAGGGAGTGGCAGCCAGTGGCGGGCTGCCACTGGCTGCCACTGCCACTCAGCATACCAACTTAGTGGTTCGTTATGGTGAACACAAATGTAGATACTTATATAAAGCGTCTGTATATAGTGAATAAAAGCAAAAACAGTACTGTGGGAGGAGAATGTGGGTGAGTCAGGTGACTTGAGGGAGGGAGGAAGTAGCAGCCAGTGGTGGGCTGCCACTGCCACTCAGCATGCCAACTTAGTGGCTTAGTGGTTCGTTATGGTGAACATGAATGTAGATACTTATATACAACATCTATATATAGTGAATAAAAGCAAAAACAGTATGGTGGGAGGAGAATGTGGGCGAGTGAGGTGCTGAGGGAGTGAGTGGCTGGCTGGTGTGTGGCGGTCACTCCTCGTTACTTTTTGACTCATAATAGCAACCTAGTGGTTCGTTATGGTGAACAAAACATGCAGATACTTATATATAACCTGTGTATATAGTGTAATAACCGACAAAGTATTTGTTCACTGTTTGATGAACATAATTGAATCAACAATATGCACACCATATTTTTGAGTACAGCGATGATTCACTCATTTTATTTATTTATTTATTTATTTATTTATTTATTTATTTTATATACAAGAAGGTACAGTGGGTTTGTGAGAATACATAGCATAGTATTTACAATCTTGTAAAGCCACTAGTACGCGCAGCATTTCGGGCAAGTCCTTAATCTAACAGATAATTTTAAGTACGTAAATTCTAGCAGAATTAAAAAAACCGGAGCTATCCCAGGCTGATATGCTAATGTCAGACTTTGGCATCAGTCATGTGTATGGAGTTCTTAGGCCTACCGGGGACCACGGCCAGAACCGGGCCCCTCAGAGAGGCAAGGGGAGCAATGGCCTATAGAAGCCCCCGTGTTAGTGGAAGCATTCTATGTCTGCCATCGACCGGAACAGGCACCCAGAAAGGTAAGCGCCCCAAAACAAACCCCTATTCTGGTTAAAATTGCTACCTAAAACCGAACTAGTGGATAGAACTCCCCAACCGAAAACAAGCAAACTAGTGTGACGTCACACACTGCCGCGCCACTGTCTGCGCAGCTCCCCCCTCCCCGGGAGGGGGAAGGGGGAGCCCCAGACCCCCCGCGCCGGCTACCCACACCTCAGTTCTTGAGGCTGGATGTCAAAAACGCGAAAAACCGCCGACCGGAGGGAGGGAGGGATGCCGAGGAGCCTCCGGGACTCGCCCAGAAAATGGCGTTTCATTACATTCAACGCTGGTTTTCTGGGGGGAGCCCCGTCGGCTCCCCGGAGCTAACTACCCACAGACAGAAAAAGAGGGACTTACCCGGGAGGCGGTCGTCGCTCACCCCTCAACTCGAAGCCGAGACAACTGGCTGCAACCGCCGATCACAAAACATGATGCACCCCCGGCCTGACCAACCAAGCATCAACCACCCATGGACCCCTCCGGAACGCAGCAGTCTCATTCTTCGCCAGAAAAGAAGGAGACGGCTGCAAACGAACAAAACTATCACCACGACCAAAAGAGCAGAAACCCCTGCGCCGGAGGAGAGCATAAAGCTCCCCTACCCGACCCCCAGAGGCCAAAGCCAACAAGAAAAGTGCCTTGGAAAAACAATCCTGGACCGAAGGGGCCACAACGAAACGAGGAGATGAAAGGAAAGCGAGCACTCTGTCCAAAGACCAGGACGGCTCAGGCGACGCATGAGCAGGCCGGAGGTGAAACAATGCACGAGACAGCTTGCGAAACGGCGCAGACGTAACATCGATACCGAAAGCAAGCTGAAGCGGCTCCGCCAGCGCCGCACGATACGAAGCGACAGTGTTAGGCATAAGATGACGGTCCTGAAACAACCACGAGAGGAAGGACAAGACCACCCGAACAGACAAGGAGCTAACACGACGAAGACGCAAAAAGAAACGGAAGGACCGCCAGGAAAACTGCATACTGCCGCCGAGAAGAAGCCCTCAGGTGGGACACCAACAAGGAGGCCACCTGATCACCATAGAGATGATGATAGACTCGAGTCAAAAAAACCATACGC